GAAAACATGGACTTGGTGACAGAATTGAAGCCAGAGATAGAATGATAGAATTTTACACAATCAACAACTCGTTCCTTGCAAATACATTTTATAAGAAACATAAACGCAGTCTGTGCATATGGATTTCACCTGACCACATGCATAGGAATCAGATTACATCTGTGGAAAGAATCACTGGAGAAGCTCAATATCAGCTATGAAAACTAGGCCAGGTGCTAATTGTGGAACAGACCACCAACTACTCATGCAAGGTAAAGCTGAAGCTGAGGAAAATGAAAAGCCCACGGAAACCAAAATTTGAGTCTATCCCACCTGAATTTCAAAACCATCAACAGAACAGGTGTGAGGCCTTGGACATTAATGAGCAAAAACCAGATGTGCTGTGAGCGGATATCAAGAATATCATCCAGGAAGAATGCAAAAGGTCATTATAAAGACAGAAGAGGAAAAAAAGACCAAGATCAATGTCAGAAGAAACTAAATATTGCACTGGAGAGCAAGAAGCCAAAGCAAAGGGAAGAAATCAAGATATTAAGGAGTTGAACAGAAGATTCCAGAGGGCAGCATGGGAAGAGAAAGTATAATAATGAAATGTGCAAGGAACTGGAGTCAGAAAATCAAAAGGGCCGAGCTCACTCAGCATTTCTTAATCTATAGGAATTGAAGAACAAATTCAAACCTTGAGTTGCAATACTTAAGGATGCTTTGGGCAGAATATTGAATGATCCAGGAAGCATTAAAATAAAATGGAAGAACTATACAGTCATTGTTCCAAAAGGTATTGGTGGACAGAGAAGAATTTCATGAAACAACGTATGAGCAAGAGCCAGTGGTGATGAAGGAAGAAGTTCAAGCTGCTATGAAAAAATTGCCAAAAAACAAGCTCTCAGGAATTGATGGCATACCAATTGACATATTTCAACAAACATATACTGCCCTGGATGTGCTCACCAAGTTGTGCCCGAATCTGGAGGACAACCACCTAGCCAGCTGATTGGAAGCGATCTGTGTTTGTTCCCATTCTAAAGAAGGGTAATCCAACAAAGTGTGGAAATTATTGAACAGATTCTGCTGAAGATTATCCAAAAACGACTGGAACAGTGCATCAACAGAGAACTGCCTAAAGGGCAGGCTGGGTTTAGAAGAGGCCATGGCAGTAGGGATAGTATAGCTAATGTCAGATGGATCTTGGCTGAAAGCAGAGAGTACCAGAGGAATGTCTGTGTTTAATTGAGTATGCAAATGCATTTGACTGTGTGAATCACAACAAAGTGTGGCTGACTCTGAAAAGAATGGGAATCCCAGAACACTTGATTGTACTTAATGCTAAACCTATACTTGGACCAGGAGGTAGTCATCAGAACAGAGCAAGGAAACACCGCATGGTTCAAAATTGGGAAGGATGTGCATCAAGGATGTGTCCTATCTCCAGAGTGCCAACATAGCATTGCCAGTTAAAGGAGAGTTAATAAAGCGAAAAGTAAAACATAATTGATCAGGTCTGTAACAATGAGCCAGCATATGCTGGGCACTTTATGCCTATTACTGTTAGCAGTGTATCTCACAGATACATTTATTTAATCCTCCCAGGAGTAAGAGGGTTGCCATTGGGAGGTAACCTGGAAGTTGGCCAGATGCAAAACAGAGGCTAGACTTACCATCTTCTTTCCCAGGAAAAGAGAGTCGATAAATCATGAAGAACTTTGTTTCTGTTTATTTTGTTGACTAGCTTAGTTCTGTTCATCTAGATACTCATAAAAGCTCTGGTGGCCCAGTGGATAGAGAGTTGCACTGCCAATCCAAAGAGAGGTGGCTCAAATCTACTAGCTGCTCTGAGGGAGAAACAGTTTCCTGTGCAATTGACTGCCTCTGAAATCCCACTGGTTATCAGTTAGGAATGAACACTGACTTGATGGTGGTGAGATACTGTTAACTGTTTAATCCAGGTACTAATGGGAACAATCCAGACATTGCTTTTTCAAAAAAGATACTGTGAAAATGCGTTAACCACTTGGCTATAATTAACATTTCTTTCATTTTTGTTACCAAATGAGTCAGTTATATGATTCTTTATTATTGTTATTACATTTTGGCTTGTTTTTTGGTGAGGTGTTTGTTGGGGTTTTTTGCTTGTTTCATATATGTTGTATTTTGTATAACTGATTACCTCTGATCAATGTCTTTTACCACTCTGTCTATTCAAGTCCCTGTTGCACCTTTCCCATTCTTTCTCCCCCATCCACTCACCAGCCTCTGCTATCCCAGTGATCCCATTTTCTCCTTTTCTTCCTTTCTCCTTCTCCCCTTAAACATTTTTTACATATCACGTTGTTATCTTCCTATTTTCACAGTAGCAGTCTTATGAAGTATTTGTCCTGTTGTGACTCATTTATTTCACTCAACATAATGCTCTCTAGACTCTTCCAAGTTGTGTTGTGTTTTACAAATACTTCATCATGCTTTAGTGCTGCTTAATATTCTATTTTGTGAATATATAGGTTTTAAGAGTGGTTTTCGGGGAGCTCTGGTGGCCTAGTGGTAAGGAGCTGCAATTACAATCCCAGAGGCGCACGGTTCGAATCCATCAGATGCTCTGCCGGGGAAGGAGGGACAATCTCCTCCTGTACCAGTCAGATGTGATTTGACGGTACACCCACACAAAAAAAAAAAAAAAAAAAAAATTTTTAAAAAAAAAAAAAAAAAAAGAGTGGTTTTCAAGGAAGTGGTAAGGCATTGTGCTGTCAGTGCAAGGGTATGCTGTTTGAGTTTACCATCTGCTCCATGGGTGATGTACTGTCACTAAAAATCCCCTGGAGGATCACCTGTGGGTTGATTCCAGTCCATTGATACTCAGCAGGAAATATTTGTTTTCACTCACTAGAATCTTCTACTACATTTCTGCTCTTTTTTTATTAAATTTTATTTTATTATTTTGTGTGTGTGTGTGTGTACCGTCAAATCGGATCTGACTGGTACTGGAGGAGATTGTTCCTCCTTCTCCAGCAGAGCATCTGGTGGATTTGAATTGAGCACCTCTGAGATTGCAGTGCAGCTTCTTGCCACTAGGCCACGAGAGTTCCCTTTACACTTCTGCTCTTATAGAAAGCTTTTAAGTAGGTAATCCCATCAGCCTCTTACCTAAAGTATGAGAAGAGAAAGATATGAATTTATTCCTGACAAAGTGCCTTCTTAAACATATATCAGGGTATAGCAAGTAAATTTATTGTTGGCAAAGACTTAAAATTCTAGTTTAACAAATTTCTGCATTCTTGCCATGCTTACTCCTTCTCTAAACCTATCTTTATTTCCTTTTATACAGCTGTGCTTGTGCTCGCTGAACTTCAGACTACAAGCTGCAGACTCTTAGTTAAATGCTCATATGTCACCCTTTTCAACAAATTTTTCATGTTTCAATAAAACTCATTTCTTTAAAATAAAATAAAAAAATACCACCAAAACCCAAAATGATGATGTGCTGTTTGAATGTCTCCTTTGTGTCAGGAAATATCCTTTTTGCTGGGTATATAGTAGTAGTAGTACCCTTGAGTCAGAACAATCCATACCTGATCTCAAGCAGGTTTTCAGAGGCAGGAAATCACCCTGGAGGAGATTACCCATCTTCCCTTGGAGCACCTGGTGGACTTGAATCATATGCTTTCAGATGGCAGCACAATTCCTTATTACCAGGCCACCAGGGGTATATGTTGTTGTTGTTGTTGTTATGTGCCATCAAGTCACCTGCAACTGATGGTGACACTATTTTATTGTGTCTGACACACCCACCCTGATTACCCCAGTCACTGAATCAGTCCATCTCATCAAGGGTTTTCCCCTTCTGCTCTGTCCCTCACCCTCCCAAGCATGATGTCCCTTTCCAAGGACTAGTCCCTCCTAACGTGTCCAAAATATGCCAGACAAAGCTTCAGAATCCTTGCCTCCAAGGAGCAGCCTGGTTTAACCCTGTCCAGGGCAAACCTGTTTTGTTCTTTTAACAGTCCATGGTATATTCTTCTCCAACACTCTTCTCCAGCACCACAACTCAAAGGCATTAATTCTCTTTTTATCCTCCCCAGTCATTGTCCAGCACTTTGATGCATAGCAAGTTACTGCCTGTGTCAGGGACACCTTAGTCTTCAAACTGACATCATTGCTCTTCAGTACTCTGGAGAGGTCTCTGACAGCAGATTTTCCCAATGCAGTTCATCTTTTTCCTGGCTGCTGGTGCCAAGAGTATTAGTTGTGGAGCTAAGCAAACAAGGGAACACATAATGGTTCAAAATTGGGAAGGGTGTATACCAGGGATATGTCCTATCTCCATACCTTTTCAATCTGTATGCAGAACAGATTTCTAGGAGGCTGGGCTCTCTGAGGAGGAATGTGGCATCAGTATTGGAAGAAGACTCATCAACAATCTGCATTAGGCAGATGACACAATTCTGCTTGCTGAAACTGAGGCGGACCTGAACCGCTTGCTGCAGAAGGTCAAGGACTGCAGCCTTCAATATGGATTGGAGCTCAATATCAAGAAAACAATGATTCTCACCACTGGGCTGATGGGCAGCATTATGATTGATGGTGAAGAGATTGAGATTGCAAACAGCTTTAGTTTGCTTGGCTCCAGTGGTATATAGTTTCGGCTTTTTTTGTTTGCTGTGTTCCTTCAACTTGGAAATGGGAGAAGGATGGGTATATAGTAGGAAAACAAAATTAGTGTTACAGGAAAGAAATCACTATTGTGGTAGAAGAAGTGGCTAGTTCCAGGGAGATCATGGTAGGGGGAACTTGACCCAAGGGAATCAAGGATAAAAGGGTGCTGACAGACATTTAAACAAAAAAGGTGATTTGAATGAAATAACATGTTTGTGTTTGTGTATAAAATCTACAAACTACTCTGGCAAGGTACATGTCACAGGAATTTAGTAACAGACAATTTTACAAGACTATACTTGGAGGAAAAAGATTTTTTTAGCCAAATATCTAATAATGTATTCTTTTTTCAGACACCTTCAGCAGTACACAAGATAAAACAGCTTCTTAAAGATAAGCCTGAACATGTAAGTAAAATAAGTTAGCAAATATTTAGCAGAAAAATTAAAGTTGCTTTTTCAGAATTAATTTTACCTTGTAATTATAAATGTTATCTTTCATTGATTTTACGGTTTTACTTTAAAAAGTAATATATACGCATGGTTTTGAAAAATGAGCCAGGCTTGCTGGTCTGATGGAGACGGGTGGCACCCTTGAGACTATGACCTTTAGTTGACCTGGAACCAAAACTCACCCACCCATGTGGGTCCACTTTGAGTCAAACATACAAAACTTTAAAGAGAACAGTTGAGAGCATAGCATGCATACTGTGCTTATTTACTTGGCTTTACACTCTTAATAATGCATCTCAAATATGTTAGCTTATTTCATAAGGGGCTCTTTCTTGCTTTGGCTGCATAAAAAGTATATTCCTTAGAGCAGGTTTGATTTCACTAACAAGTCTGCTGTTTTAAAGGAGTTTTGCTGTTCCATTCAGCATGGCCATGACTGAGTGGCTGCAGCATGGCAGGCATGTTGCCTTGATGCTGTACACCTGCTTCATTGTATCCACATGTGCAATGCCACTGATAGGCACTTGTGGAGTAAGGGATTTCAGTACATTTTTTTCCAAGTAATTACAGCATTAATATTTAATAATTAGATTGCTAAGTAATTTCTAAGTCCGTTTATTTAGGTGACATTGCAATGCAGTCGTACTCCAGGGCCTGTCTCCTAAGGAAGAGAATCAGAGTATTAGTTCCATGTGGATAGCCTAAAGACTAGAGTATACATGGACCAAATGAATTGAGAATTTAGCTTCCAAGATTTTGAGGTGTGTTTGAAATAGAGATTCCTTGTGCCAGTTAACTCTCATCTCATGCAGTGTGGCTCCATTTACCTAAATCAGTGTTTTCTTGTGTTTTTTGAGTCACTCAGTTCTCCTGGGAGTTGCCTCTGTAAATCTTATTTCAATAAATTCAGATGTCCATACCTACTCCTCATGCTTAAACTTCTTAACAGCTTCAGATTTCCTGTTTATGAAGGTGAAAACTGGGCTGAACAGATACTTAAGAATATGCCCCAAAATTTCACCCATATAAACTTAAGCTTTACTATTCTAAGTATGTGCAGTTATCATGTGTGCTCTATAAGCAGTCACTCTAGAGATGAGTATAACTGAATTATTTTTCTTTTTGAGTAATGTCAGAGAGACTATTCTGAGTGTTGCAGATTTTCAAAATTCCCAAAGTGGACAGAAATTTTATTTCAGTTGTTTGTTGGTTTTTTGTTTTGTTTTGTTTTGTTTTTTTAAAAAAAGATGTTAAGATTGTATATATAGTAAAGACTGGAAGAAAATATGAAGAAAAAAGTACATGCTGTTTTATTAGAGTTATAGTTAATGTGCTGTTGAATCAAGTATGACAGTGACCCTATGAACAGTAGAACTGAACTCTGTCCTGTCTTGTGCCACTGTCATCATCTCATACATAATTGAGTCCATTTACAGTAACATTGCTACCGTTATTATGCCATTCTATCTTCTTAGGGGTCTTTTTCTCCTACACTGACCCTCTCCCCAAGCATGATGTCTTTTTCAAGGAATAGCCTCCCCTAGCAACTTACCCGAAGTATTAGAGATGAAGTATTATTATCTTTGCCTCTAAGGAGCACCCTGGCTTTACTTTCTCCAAAATATATATGTTCTCTCTTGGCAATCCGTGGTACATTCAGTACTCTTCTCCATCACCACCCCTCAAAGGCATTAGTTCATCTTCTGTCATCCTTATTTGTTGTCCAGCTCTCTGATGAGTAGCAGGTAATTGAGAAGACCATGACCTGAATCAGGCACACCTTAGTCTTCAAACTGACATCATTGTTCTTATGTATTTTGGAGAGATCATAACAGCAGACTTGTCTAACGCAGTGCATCTCCTGATTGCCTAACTGCTGGTATCAAGGATGTTGGTTGTTGATCTAAGGAAGATGAAGTCATAGCTTCAATCCTTTCTTCTTCTGTTGTGATGTTAGCTGTGACTTGATGTAGAGATGTAATCCTGAAGGCTTGATCTTCTATAGTAAGTATTTCAAATCTTCCTCACTTTCAGCAAACAAGTAACAAAGGTTGTTAATGAGTCTTTCTCCAATCCTAATGTGACATCCTCTTCATAGAGTCTAGCTTCTCAAATTATTTGTTCGGCATATAGGTTGAATAGGTATGAAGAAGGTGTATCCCTGTGTGGAGTTCAAAATGTCTTTCCTAGACATTACTTGACTTTGCCATGCGAATGAGCAGGGATATATGAATAGGGTGTTTTAGTCTGTCCACAGGGGATTGGCTAGTCTAGCCATTAAATGAATGATTCAGCAGCATTAGGAGAATCTTTTTACCTGCCAGCAAAGAAAAAGCAAAAGATGCAACTCATCCTTCAAGACCAGAACAACAGCCGTAGCAGCTGAATCAGAGGACCAAAGAGCCCATATGAGATGGAGCTGAATACTACCACCGTGGACAGAACCAGAGCTGAGCTAAGAGCCTTACCCAAGTTTGTTGAACAACTAGGGTTGTGAGGGAAGAGCTATTATTGACAGGACTGAGAACTTTGTATCACTGACCACAAGGCTCGAGGCTGAGGCGCCTGCAAGCACACTGTGGAAGCTGTTCTGTATTCTGCTACCAACCTGAATTATAGCCTTTTGACTTCCCCAGTATGGTTCTGTGTCTTCTCTGATTTATCGCATTGGATTTTGGACCCAGTAAAGCATTATTGGTGTTGAGATGAGGAGAAAGAGGTGCAAGAGTGTGGAGGACATGTCTGACCTCATGGGAATTAGTTTTGCATTGTTGATGAGGACAGTTAACCCCTTGTGAAGTTGGTAAAGATCAGATATGGCTATCCTCACATGGTCCTTGCTCTTTTTACATACTTCCTGAAACGACAGCCTCTTGAGCTAGGTATAAATTTCTAATGACCACAAGTGTGTTTTAAGATTCACATCCTTCTCAGTATTATCTACAGTAAAATGCCTTTGCCTAGGCAGTAAACACAGATAAGACATTCTTCTCGTATTCTTTTCTTTCACCCAAGTCTATCTGACACCAGCAGTCGTACCCCTGTACGACTAGTCCCTGTCAATGTGCTGTTATATAGCCCTTTTGGGGTGATATTCAACATTATTTTGCTTGCATGTGATATTAATGATTTTGTTCTATAACTTCACATTCTTTTGGGTCACCTTTTTTGGAAATAGGAACAAATATGTATCTTTTCCAGTTACTTGGCCAGGCACCTATTTCCAAATTTCCTGGCATAGACTGGTGAGCACATCCAGGGTTGCATCTATTAGTTAACCATGTCAGTTGTATTCCATAAATTCCTGGGTGGGGCCTTATTTTTTGCCATTCCCTTCAGTGCAGCTTGAACTTCATCCTTCATTACCATTGACTCTTGTTCATATGGTACTTTCTGTTATTTTTCAGTGTCAGCGAATTTCTGATACAGTGACTGTGTATTCCTTCCATCATCTCCCCCCTCCCCCTTCATTCCATCTTCTATTGATGCTTCCTGGATCATTCAAGATTTTGCACATAGCATCTCTCATTTTTGCGACTCGAGTCTTGATTCTGTCTTTCAGTTCTTTCAGCTTGAAAAATGCCAAACAAGTTCTTCCTTTTTTATTCTCTTACTCAACTATTTACACAGTGCAGTATAATATTTTGCTTTGTCTTTAGCTGCCCTTTGAAATCTTCTGTTCAGCTTTTCACTTTGACAAAAGATATTGTTAGGGTAGTAGTTACCAGCTTTTCCCCTATATTGTTTTATTTGCATATTAATTGTCTTTTGCTTTTTAAATGCTAATTAATATTCTGCTTGTATAAGTTATTAAATATTTATTCCTTATTCTATTTATACATCTTCTTGTTGTGTCCAAGTAGGAACCGACCCATAGCTGACCCTCTAGCAGGTTTTCAGAGACAGTAGGAAGAGATAGCTCATCCTTCTCCCACAGAGCAGCTGTGAATTTGAACTGTGTGTGCACCTTTGGGTTTGCAGCAAAGCTTCTTATCTGCTATCCACTAGAACTTTTAAAACCAAAAGTCTAATATTTAGTATACTTTTTAAAAAATTATGAGAATATGTTTTTAATAATATAAATTGCTTCATCTACAATGCTTTGAATTTTTTTCTTTTTTTAAAAATTTTATTGATTTTAATGAACATTTACAGAGATTTTGGATTTCTATTCATTCACTGTTGCACTATTTTCTCTACCCTCCCCAGTTCGTTCCTCTCTTTTTCTTTTCCTTGAAAGTCCTTAATTGTTCCATTGCCACAGTGCTTGTCAAAACCAGTTCTGATTAATCTCTTTTGTCAGTGTGTCCTTTCCCATTCCCTATCACTCCTCCCTGAGAGAGATTTCACCCTGATTCATAAGGAAAAGGGGAGGGCATATTCTCTTAGCTACTTCCTGCTGGAAAGGGATGCTGTAGGTTTCAGGGTGAAGATCTTCTCTCACTACTCTCAAGGGCCCCTTTAGCAATAGGAAACACGTAGACTATTTTGGAGATTGATTTTGGAATTTAGGTGCACTGTTATCAGTTGTGCTTAGCCATACATGTTCATATCCTTGAAGATGCATCATGGAACTGTTGTAGCCTAGAAGACACAATTGTAACTAACAAGTTAAAAAAGTACAGGAGTCAAAAATTAAAAGCAATAATATTCCAAGTAGAGCTTCTGACAGTGGCACAAATCAAGTTACAGAGGGAATGTAGTTCTTAAAATAAAAGGCTGTTGACTAGCACTTTGTCTATTATAGTATAAAGGTTAGGAGCCACAAGATGTAGAAACTCAACTATGTCATTTATTGTTCTTAAGTCCTGGACCAAATTTCATCTACCACTGGGTTGTTTTACAGCTTGGAAGTCCGCATGCAAGGCAGAGGTGAAGTAAGGAGCTGCTTATGAGGTTTTCTGTCAATTCCAACAACTAAGAAATAGTGAGAAGAGTTGATACCTCAGAAGGCTTTTAGGACCAAATAGGCTCTTGTGTCCAGGAGAAAACTAATATACTTAACAGTAATGTTAATGCTCACCAACAGCTCTTCTGGGAGGATCTAAATCGTTGAAGCAATGCTTTGAAATTAAGTGCACATTTATAATTCTCTTTCAGGTAGGTGTGAAAGTTGGTGTTCGAACCAGAGGTTGCAATGGCCTTTCTTATACTTTAGAATATACAAAGACAAAAGGAGATTCTGATGAAGAAGTTGTTCAAGATGGTGAGTGTTTAGCAAACTTTTTTCTGGATACTTTGTTTTACATATAATAAAGTAAATAATAATAATAAGAAAGAGATGGGATATTCTCTGTATCTAGGCATTTTTAACTTATGCCCCACACTTGAATGAAGTTAGTGCTGTATTATCTTCATTTTGTAGATGAAGAAACTGAGTTACTGAGAGGAAGTGCTTTGGTTAAGGCCACACAGCTATTAAGAGGCCTGGGAGAAATGTAAACCAAGTCAAGGTGACCCTAGTAACTGCCCTTATAACTAAATGGTATTTTATTGGATAAACTTGTTTGTTTCCATTTCAAAAGGGCAATTTATCTTCTTTCCCAAAAAGTTTGTAATATGGTAGCACTTCAAAATGAACCAACCACTTATTTTTATTCGAAGCAGTGATTTTACATTTATGTTAAAAAAGTAATGTCAAATCATCAAAAAACATTCTAAATTTGTAATTTTTATTAAAAAATTATTTGCCAGATCATTTCCTTTTCAATATCTGATAAAAGTAATTAAAAAAAAACAAATAAAGATGCCCCTGTGCTTTGTGCTTTGTGCCTTTAGCATGGGTGGTTTTGTAGGGCAGAAGTGATATGCGTTATTAGGCAGCTTGCGGTCCTTGCCCACATGTAAGACATGTATGGCTAAGTATCCTTTCACTGAGAAACAAAAATTATAAGCAGTAAAGACATTATTTTGAAAATAACCTCAGAGTATCTTGTGCCTTAAGAGTTGAAGAGGGAATGAATCAAAGAAACTGTGCATAGTTTATATACTTAAACAATGACTGGATTTCTTATGTGAAAACTTCGTTTAAGGTATTTCATCTCAATTGTTGTTAGAGTTATATTGGTTGTACTTGCAGAGCTGTGTTACGAGGACCAGTTTTCTGACCCCTAACCAGGTCTGTCACCCCTGACTGACAAGTCCTGCTTAGTGTCACAGTCTTTTTGCATATTTCTGGCTTGGCCAGTGTGTCATATATATAGGTGATGTCACAGTGAATTCCATCTATGCAAAATTATCGCTGAGACATATGTATTTTCTTAATGTTACAAAAAAGAAAAAGTAGTCGAAATAGTATGGAAGGATAGTTTTGTATGAAATTGGCATGAAAAAAAATATTTTTTTCAGAGTTACCTGTTCTTGACACAGATTCATGTGGGAAAGGTGCAGTGAGGAACTGAGCACTTACTCCCTCAAAGGAAATAATGAAGCATTCCAAAGCTTCCTGCCTGGTATGTTTGAAGCAGCAGTTAAGCAGTTTGCTTTCCAGGTTCACTTGTGCTTTGACTCAGCTGCATGGCTCCATACGGTTTGCAGCCTTTATCTGATACATGTTTTCTTTTCCCTAAGGGGTCAGAGTGTTCATTGAAAAGAAAGCACAACTCACCCTTTTGGGAACAGAAATGGACTATGTAGAAGACAAATTATCCAGTGAGTTTGTGTTCAATAACCCAAACATCAAAGGAACGTGTGGCTGTGGAGAAAGCTTTAACATCTGAACTCTCAGGATCCTTCATGCTGCCGTGACCTGCAGGGATACCTGCAGAAACCTTGGGCCTACTGAAAAATTGTGACTGTCGTGTTGTTAGATTCATAATGTATTGCTATCTTCTGAGAAAAATAAAGGAAAAATGTGAAAAGTCATTGTACTGAATTAAAGATGTTTATGTTGTTCTTAGGGGACAGAAAATGAGGTAACATTGTTTTCTATGCATCATTTTACTGTTTTGTAAAGAAAAAAAAAATCTACTACCCTGCACTTAACTCTCTCATATCTTTTCCATTAGAACCAGTTTTATCAAAGTTGCCTTCCTGTTAGTATTTCAGGAAAGATCTTCCTAGATGTGTGCTAATTAGATCTTTACTGAATAACTTCAACTGTGCATCTCCTTTGACAATCCCTGAATTACAGTGCATTGGTTTTCTACCTAGACTTGGCGTGACCATTTTACTTTTCATAAAAAATTGCATCATTGATTCCTCATGTGCTTATCTTTTAATGGTTAACACCTATTAGAAATATTATTGGGCAAATATTTTCTAGGACTGTCACACAGAGTAGTTCTTAGTGATGGTGTCAAAGGTAAAACTAATCTGTTTTTTAATCTATTCTCCAACTATCTGCTCAAAGATGAGTTGGTATTAGTTGCCAAGGAGTCAAGTATGACTCATTGTTACCCTGTGAACAACAGATCTGAACCCTGTCCTGTCCTATACAATTCTCAATATCTCTGACGTACTTGAGCCCATTGCTATAGTCACTGTGTCAGTTTATCTGATTGAGTATCTTCCTCTCTTTTGCTGACCCTTCCCCTTTCCAAAAATTATGCCCCTTTCCAAGGAACAGGCTCTCCTAGCAACATGCCCTAAATGAAACTGAGGAGAACCTTTAACACTTGCTGCAGAAAGTCAAGGACTGTAACCTTCAATATGAATTGAAGTTCAACATCAAGAAAACAAAGATTCTCACCACAGGGCCAAATGGCAGCACCATGATAGATGAAGAAGAGATTGAAGTGGTTAACAATTTTGGCTTTCTTGGTTGCACAATCAGCACTCTTGGCACCAGCAGTTAGGAAATCAAAAGACTAATTTCAGTGGGAAAATCTGTGGTCAGGGGCCTTTCCAGAGTACTGAGAAGAAACAATATCAGTCTGGAGAATAAGGTGCGCCTGATCTAGGCCATGCTCTTCACAATTACTTGCTATGCATCAGAGAGCTGAACATGACTAAGGATGACAGAAGAAGAAAAGATACCTTTGAGCTGAGGTGCTGGAGAAGAGTATTCAAAATAGCATAGACTGGAAAGAAACAAACAGGTCTGCCTTGGAGAGAGTGAAACCAAGTTTCTCCTTGGAGGCTAGGATCTTTTTTAATAAAATTTTTAGTATATACTGTTCTACTTACAAAGCTTGCCATTGTTTTTCACATGGATCTTTCTCATTTTCTTTACCCACCACTCCCTCCACCCATCAAATTGTGCAACCTTACCAAGATTAACCATACCACACTGATCCTTACCCCTCTGTTCCCACCCTTCTCCCCTTGAAAACTTACTCATGTTCTACAATAATGGTCTTATACAGTATTTGTCCTTATGTGACTGAGTTAGTTCACTTCGCATAATACACTCTAGTCCCTTCCAAGTTAGGTAGTGATTTACAAAATCATTGCTCCTGAGTGCTGTGTAATATTCCATCGTGTGAATGTACCATAATTTCTCAATCCACTCAATTGTGGTTGGACATTTGGGCTGTTTCTGTGTTCTTGTGATGATGAATAATGCTGCTATGAATGTTAGTGTAAAAGTATCCATTTGTGCCTCAGTTCTCATTCTCTCGGGACATATTCCATGTAGTACAATAGGTGGATCATGCAGAATTTCTCTGTTCAGCTTTTTAAGGAGATGCTAAACTGCCTTCCAGAGTGGTTGTACCATTTTACAATCCCACCAGCAATGTATAAGAATTCCTATCTTGCCACATCCATTCCAACATTTACTACTTGCTGTCCCATTAAACTTTGTCACTGCTACTGGGGTGAGTTGGTATCTCATTGTGGTTTTGATTTGCATCTGTCATTGCCAGTGATTTTGGGCCTTTCTTCATGTGTCTGTTGGCCGTCCAAGTATCTTCCTCTGTAAAAATTCTATGTCTTTTCCACATTTTGTAATTGTGTTATTAGTCTTTTTCTTGTGAAGGCCAAATAGAATTTTGTAAACCTTTGATATGAGACCCTGGTCTGAAATAGGATTGTCAGATGTTTTTTTCCCAGTCAGTAGATTTTCTTTTCAATCTGTTGGAAAAAGGTTTTTTATATGCACAGGGATTTAATCTCATTCAATTTTGTCCTCTCCAGATTGTGCTTTTCTGGCTGTATTTGGCAGTCTCTCTATAGTCAGGTCCTCTAAGCTTGATCCCTGTTTGTCTCTGATGGACTCAGTATGGACTGAGGCTCAATGTCAAGAAGACAAAAAGTCTCACCACTGGACCAATTGGTAGCATCAGGATGGATGGCAAAGAGATTGAGATTGTTCACAGCTTCAGTTTGCTCGGCTCCACGGTAAACACTCTTGGCACCAGCAGCCAGGAAATAAAAAAATGTATTGTGATGGGAAAGTCTGCTGTTAATGACCTCTCTAAAGTACTCAAGAGCAACGGTGTCTCTCTGGAGACTAAGGTGCGCCTGATACAGGCCATGGTCTTTGCAATCACTTGTTATGCATGAGAGAGTTGGACAATGACTAGGGAGGACAGAAGGAGAATTGATGCCTTTGAGCTGTGGTGCTGGAGAAGAGTACTGAATGTACCATGGACTGCCAAGAAAACAAACAGATTCATCCTGGAGAGGGTTAAACCAAGCTACTCCTTGGAGGCAAGGATTCTGGGGCTTCATCTGACATATTTTGGGCATGTTGCAAGGAGGGACAGGTCCTTGGAGAGGGACATCATGCTTGGGAGGGTTGGAGGGACGGCGCAAGAGGGAAAGACCCTCTATGAGATGGATTGATTCAATGACTGGGGTAAGCGGGATGGGTGTGTCAGAGGCAGTGTGATTGGCACAGGATAGAGCAGGGTTTAGGACTGTTGTACATAGGGTTGCTATGAGTCCCAAATGACTTGACAGCACATAACAATTTGTTGAAGAGCCTGGGATTTTGAAGCTCTGTGGACCTGTGGTCAGGAGGGATCAATCCTTGGAGACGTACATCATCCTCAGAATGTTGGAGGGACAGCACAGGAGAGGAAGACCCCGGATGAGATGGATTGACACAGTAACTGGGGTAATGAGGGTAAGTGTGTCAGAGTCAGTGAGACTGGCGTAGGATAGGGCAGGCATCAGAGCTGTTGGACATAGGGTCGCTGTGAGTCACTAGCAACCTGATAGCACACAACAGACAACAGTGCAATTTTCAGAGTTGCTTCCATTTTGTTTTTTTCTTTTTCCTCTGTAATGTCCTTTTGCTCTCTTCATTGATACCATCCTGCAACTCATCTGGTCTTTGATCATTGATATTCAGTGCTTAAAACCTATTAAGATTATTTTGAAATTCAGATGGAATAGATTCAAGATCATATTTTGTTTCTAATGGGCTTCTTTTCATTTTCTTTGGTCTCGATTTGAACTTGCAAATGAATAAATGATGGTCTGCTCCTGGGCTAGTTTTGGCTGCTGATACTGAGATTCTCCAATGATTCCTTCCACAAATTTAATAAGTATGATTCCTTCGCAGATCATCAGGTGAGGTCCATGTGTAAAGTCACTGTTTGTGTCTTTTAAAAAAGGGATATGCAATACCAACTGAGCTCTACCAACTTAGCTATCCAGGTGAAAAAAACAATATATATGAACTTTATGAACTTTGTAAGCAAGCCAGTAAGTAAAAGAAAAAATTTAAAATATATATGAATAAATTACTGAAAATATAAAACTTGACCATTCTATTTCCAGCCTCATTTATATCACCAAGTCCATATGTTCCAAATATTATTCCTTCACTCTTTCCAACTTTTACATGTCATTCACCAGTTATCATTAATGAATCTTGATTTAATGTTTAGTCGATTTCACACTGCAAGATTTGGTAAAAATTTTCAATTCATCTTTGGCTGTAGATGCAGGATCATATATTTGAAGTATAATCATATTAATGAGTCTTCCTTGTATGAGTATGAATAGTATCCTATCAAAATAGTTTTTTCATTCTCACCGTAGTATATATGTGACTGATTCAAAGTGAACAAAGCTAATCCGTCTCATCTCACTAATACCTAGTATGTCAATGTTCATTTTTATTTCATTTTTCACAATTTCTAATTTTCTAACATTCAAACTACATACATTCCATGTTGCAAATATTAAAGAATGTCTGCTTTTAAACCCTCATTTCAACTAACTTCCAGACCACTACTACAATTATCCATGTTCTCTACTGTTCATAGAGTTTTCAGAGGCCTATTATGTAAGAAGTGGATGGCTAATCCTGCTTCCTAGTTTGTCTTAATCTGGCATTAAAACCTGTCCACCATGGGAAACCTTGTGACATTTGACACACTAGTGGCATAACTTTCAGTATCACAGCAACACACAAGTTCTCTCAGAACAGCAAACTGACAAGTGCTGTACCAATTAGAACAATGTTCTCCTCAAACACAACAAACTGACAATTTAGTTTGTAACTCCAGTGGGAAATCACTCTTCACGCCAGGCTGGGGGGCTGCAGACCCAGGGCCCTAAGGAGCTTTTAGTCACAAAGGCATTCTTGCCAGATTCTAATTGGTTAAAACAAGAGGCTTCCAGCTTACAACTGATTGTTAGATAAAAGAGACCAAACAGCCAACACATGACTTAAGTAAATAAAAAAAACCAGCCCATGCATGACTGCTAATTAAATAAAAAGACCAAACAGCTCCACACTTGATTAAATAAAAAAGTCCAGCCTACAACTGTTAATCAAATAAAAATGACCTACCTTCCAGATTCCAACTACTTAAAAATTAAATGATGCTATGGACCATATATTGAGTGACTCAGGAAGCAGCAAAAGAAGATGGAAGGA